GGAGGGATGGACGAAAGAGTGTGCGGTGGTTGGTAGAGGTGTGTTTGTTATTTTGCCGTAGTGGAGCTCGATGCTCCACCGGAGCGAAGATCTTATGTACTTGTTTGCGTCATAATTTGAACGCGATCACGTCTCATCCTCCGTCCACGATGCCCCGGCAAAAACGCAAGAGCAAGAGCAAGGAAACACCCTCGCGGCCTCGGTGTCCATGGTGTAAAAAACATCGCGACGGCCGGAGATTCGACAAACACCAGAAATACTGCAAGGAAATCCACGACTATTCTCGGAGATTGAAGCATCGGCGTTCGAAGCGCAAAAAGGAAGACATTAAAATTGAATTATTGGTGCGCTTCTGCCCTCCGAGCTTGTAGTTCTCTGAAGGCAAGTACTTCGACAGGCCTCCAAGCCATCCTCGCCGCTCCTGCCAGAATCATCACCACCTCCCATGGATGTCGATCTCGAGGGTGTGGAGCCACTGGGCAGCCCCTTCATTGGCCCACTGCTCCCCGGGTCCTTTCTTCGGGGGACTCCTCACCCTCATAGCACGGATAAGACGCCCAGAATTATTACAATTGATCGCCCGATCGCTCCGAACGATGCATTTGTGCGCAGAGCTTCGCCGTATGAAGACTCGGAACATCCACCATGGTTTCCCTTCCGCACGAGGGCTGATTTCGAAACCACTGAGATCGCGGTCAAGGGCCTATTGCCCATTTCAATTCCGACTCTCCCGGGATGTCCTTTGCACGAATCTGTGCACTGCTCCGTTGCACACTGGAAAGCAAACGACAGTTCGATGTTGCCCTGGTTCACGAATTTCGGCAAAACAGGTGGAAACCGAAAACCGCGTGGGCTGGTTGTCAAGTTCACGAGGAGGCGAAGGAGTACTCTCTATTGCTCATGGACTATGTGATCCGTGGTGCATTATTAACGCAGGCCTCGGAAACTGGCAAGGGACATCTCCATTTTCTAGTAGATACTGTGGATTCCGACATGTTCCTCCGTGCCGACCAATACTAGGCGCAAATTCACTATTTTCTGCCTTGATATCTGCCCGGATATGATACTCCCTGACCATGCCTGATATGCTTGCTCATTTGACCTGACACGGGCTGATCAGGGCTTACAAGTCCGTCAGGTCGCGTCAGCCCCTGATAAGGCAAAATCGATTTTTCCGACACATCCCTTTGCCCTCTGCCGGGTCCATTTGAAAAGGTGTCCATGTTGGACGGAGGCACTCATTGATCATGATATGCCGCATGTAGTCTCTTATAAACAGACACTACAACATTTTTCGCTTGTAACTCGCGTGTTATAGCACATATAGCTCTGATACGCGTCAAGGCGGTGAAAAATCAGCCCTGCAGAACAGTGGGAACTGCAAGAAACGGAGCGAGCAAGATCTGAGAGCTCGCAAAGTTGATAGTTGATTCAGACTACATTCGAATAGACATACCCGACTATATTACAACCTGAAACTATTTGGCAATAGTTTCAGCGTCCCGGTCGGCCTTCTCAATAAGGCAATATATGCGAGACGGAGTCAAAAATTATTAGTGATCAGTCAGTAGTTGATCGAGAGTAAGTCTCCTCGCGAAGTCAATGGACGGTAGATCTGCGAGGCCCATTCAATCGGTATTATGGTCAGAGCGACATACCAGTGCAAAGCCTAGACAATCTAGCAGTAGTCACCGCTCAGTGAAATCGTAGATCTGTGAGGATAGTCAGTAAATATTGAGGTCCGCGTACTCGAAATATTGACGTATTGGCTCCACATTGACTGGTGAGCAGACAAAGAAAGCTCAAAAATTTGAAAGCAAAACCTGCATACAGCATACCTAAGTCCGTCACCGAGTCAGTAACTTATCGAGACCACAGAACAAGGTTTGGGTCAGTTGAGGTGCGAGAATAAGTTGGCAAGAGGATTAATTGCGCAGAGTGCATGTAAGTCTTGGAGTAGAAGAAATTCTTGAAGTGCGCGTCGAAAGTTTGACCAAACTTGAAGGTGTTGCGGCGGCGTGTTCAATCAAGCCTTGGTTCAAGGCGAGCGGGTCAGTGACTTGGTTTGAATCGGCCATCAATTTGGATCACAACGATGAATGCAATGCGGGATATAAGAACCAGTTAAGGCTGGAACATTATGATTAAATACGACCTCGGGCCGTAATGTACCATAATGCTAGGACAATTTCAAGGATTGGCTGACATTTAATGGTATGAGTATCATAATGTATTGTAATGATATCTTAATCATATTTAATCATATTTAATGAATTGTAACACCCTCCAAGTAGTCCAGACCGTCTCTGAAGCCTGCATTTAACAGCTCCTTCACTACAACAGTCAACAATGCAGTTGAAGCGGCCATGGACAACCATGCATCGGACATTGTGTGCATGCTGCTTGAAAAGAGGCACCCGACAACAATGCTCACATCTGGAATGCAGAGAATGACACGTGCGATATGGGAAAGGATAGGGAAGTGAATTGCATGCAGCTGGGGAAGCAAATCAGAAAATAAAGCAGAGGAAGAAGCAGTAACATACCTTCCATCAAGCCAGAATGTGATCATCATCATCGGCCATCAGCTGAAAAATACTTGCAACTCCGTCTGGGTTCTCTTGCGTACTGAAGAGTGTTTCCCAGAAACTGCACGATGAGATGTGGTCCAGCAAAGAAGATGTCGCGGAGTTTGAAATGTGGAGCCGAGAAACCGGCAAAATGTTTGATTGCCTACTGTACTTTTCCGTGTCTTTCGGGGACAGAAAAAGTTCGGGTAGGCATTCATCCAGAACACCGGAATTCCCAGTGGCGGGGGGTCGAACCCGAGAACCTCATATGATGGTCTAAAAGTGTAAAAGACAGACTTTACCTCTCAGCAAGAAGTCCATAAAGGAGTGAAGGCAGGAGCGGTTATATCATGTGGGGCTTAATATTATGATTAAATACACCTGTCGTACTGTAATGTAACTGGGTGACTTCCCGTAAGTATAGATAAATTCCCGGGAATATTTATTCTGTTGCCGCCGCCACTGCCAAAGCAGTTGTCAGGACCCCATCAATGGGCAACCCAAAAGCGTTCAAGATTTATTCTGAATCTAAGAAAGTCTGCAGAGGGGTCCCTACCCCCCCTACAGATTTTATCAGACGGAATAAAATGTTTTGGCATCAAATGTCCACTCTTCACCCTCTTCCTCAACCACCAGGCCGCTGATTCATGTCGTGAAAAATCAAGTAACCTCTCACTACCCATCGGAGTGCATTCCGGCTCTTCTCCAAGGCTGAAGAGGAGTTGGATTTATTTATTCTTTTTTATGAGAATGCGGGTCTGTGGTAGACGACTTGAATATCTTATGGTTTGATGCCATCACTGGCACTCTCAAACAAGCTCAGAAATGCGCGAGGAATATTCTATGCTTACGGGAAGTCATCCACTGTACTGTAATGTAATTAAATCGGACATATTCCTGAGATCTAATATTAGACCCAGCCTGTATTTAATGGTAATCCTGCTATTAAATACAATTATAATCGAATATATTCATAATCTTAGCCAGCCTTAGAACCAGTCCGCGACTAAAATAATAACCAGAACCAATTACAGTTGCTAAATGGGTTCCGGAACACGCAGAAATAAATTATGAATAGAGAACTAGGGAAAGGAGATGAGCAGATTCTGTTTGCATATTTGGATTCTACGACCTCGAAAGCATAAGTGACATCTGCGTCCGAATTTTTGAGGTCGCTTGACCATTGGTAAAACAGCATTTTCGGCGATTAGTGAATTTCGACAAAATTACCAGTTCCGGAACATCACCCTTTTCGGGGTTCAACCGATCTTTCTTTCAACAAAAACCCACCGACAGCCCCCCAGAGTGGTGCATCCAAGGATCCCAGGGTGTCCACACAGTCGATTCAAGGCACCAGTGGCAAATAATTGCTGCAACATTTGGCTATGATGTGAACAAGCCGCTTCAAATGGCCTTTTGGATATATTGATTTTTCATTTGACAGCGGACAACAATGCTGGCATGATATATGGTAGGATTATATAAGCCACCTTCTAGATTAATGATAAAAATTCCTGTGGACAGAACCTACGGCCTGAACTGGGAATGCGGATTGTTCCGGAACCCATTTAGCGACTGTACAGTCAGTGAATGAATACAGAACCAAGACTCAGAATTCACTTGTACGCGCCTGCGAGTGAAATTCAGTAGATATGGGCATAGGTATGGAAATATATATCTTCATGATCGGTTTAAGGAGGTCCGAGATGTCTATGAAAGCAAGGGTCAGCGTAGTTGAAAGACGAACCATCCTATCGTGATCGTGGGAACGGCCGGCAGTCTCGGCAAATGATGCCGAGGCATGCCGATTGCCGTGAATGAACATTGGCGAACGGTGTTATGTAGGCAGCAGGAACGAACCAAAAGTCAGCGAGCAATTACGATAGGCTGATGTCGGTCAATCCTGGGCGGAATGCCGACATGGATCAGGGAAGGCGGGTTGCAGAAAATTGAGTAGACTTCATCACCACAACGTCCGCTTATTCCCTACCTTTCTGCGCTCTCTACATCCAGAATTTTTAGCTGTGCAGTGGGTAAGAAATAAACCGAGGCGAACAGTAAAAAACTAGGCAAAGAAGTTGAAAACGGACGGGAGTCGAAGCTTGCTGCTTCCGAATGGAATGTACGAATTTTATTATGGAGTGCAGTGGTGTACCTACACAAATCCGCCTATTACCTCCGTGCCTGCGCTCGGCATCCGAGCTTTCGGAGCTGTTCTCACCAAAGAAAATGGTAGAAGGGACGGAAAAGGGAGATGCGGACGCGGGGAGTCGAACCCCGTCTTACTTCGTGCAATAACCACGACGCATTAAGCGGTGCAGCGGTGCACCGTACGCCACGTCTACTCCCTCTCTCTATCCGAAGGTCGGATATATGCAGTCCCTCGCATCCAAAAAGACAAGAAAAAGGCATGAGGAACAGAACAGTTTGTGCGGATGCGGGGAGTCGAACCCCGACTTACTGCCTGTCTATGCACTTTCAACCCTACCTATAGCATGCAGTCGTGCACCATACACCACATCCGCGTATTACCCCTACACCTACCCTCATTCTCATTAACGAGCAGCTCCTTCAGATGCTCGCACGAATAAAAGAAGAAGGGAAACAGAATGCAAATGATGCGGACACGGGGAGTTGAACCCCGTGTTGCTGCATGGACTTTGGTGAGAAATTATTGGTCGATGCAGCGGCGGACTATGCACCACGTCCGCTTTTGTCTCCTTCCCTACCCTCGCGATATGCGGGGGGTTGGACCCTGCTGCGGGTAAAATTGTCAAGTCTCGTGTGTGGATGATGTTGAATGAGGAAGGGGGTTCGACTTCTCTCGGGGGCATGGCGTCGGAAGGTGCTCGGATGTTGTTTTTACGGCGTCCTATTTATCTTTGAATGTTCATGAGTACGCAGAGAGGCTGCGCTGCTGGCAGTGGCAGCCTGCACCTCTATGGAATATAGCAGGGTCGTCAATCTGGGCTCCAGGCGTCCTATGCAGTAGATTATGTATCAGGTAAAATATGGCTTCTGGAATACGCGCCAGGTACGCATCAGACATGACGCAGCGTGTTTACAAAAGAACAGGGAAGATCCGCGCAGCTCGTCGAGCCTACGTGTTGCTGTCTAAATGCCATTGGACACAAGTATTTTGGAACATGCTTCATGTTTGAGACAAGGCGCCTTGGCAGGAAGTTCAAGTAACCACAGCATGTTCTCGACAGAATTACTGCGCCGAACAAGTAGAATTTCCAAACCGGGACCGACGGCGTTGACATGTGTGTGAGTGCTTTCCTTTTGATCGGCCGCTTTCTTCACGCCTTTCACGCCTCATTTTGCCCACATCCCTCTCGCGGCTGAAGAACGCTGTTGTCGGACATCCGAGAAGCCCTCTTTCTAGTTGCCAGTCTACAGGAATGCGATCGCCGACGATGCTCATTCCTACTCCACACTCGTAGCAGGCACCGGCAATTGCAATGTCGTTGCTCTGATCCAGTACGTAGATGTCGGCCTCGCGACGGCACGCATCTTCCTCCCGACGTTCGCCCCGCTGTGCGCGTTGTACCCGCTCCTCGCCGCGCGCCAGAACGCGTCGTCTCGGGCTTCATGACCGCCGCCGCTGCCATTCATTCTCGACTATATCAACTCACTGGCGGCCAACGTCGGCGGCGTGCAGCTCCGCGCCGACCTTGCGTGAACTCCCTCCAGGTGAGTCTGCGTCCCCTCCTGTGCTGTGATGCGGCGATTGAGCCGTTCGTGCGCAGGCTTCGATCTCCTCGTCGGCGCACTCGCGTACCGCTCGCAGCTGAGCCTGCTGACGGACTGGGTGCACCACGCCGCGTACCTCATCATCACGGAGATCGCGATCCGCAACAGCTGGACGCACGTCTTCTGCATGTGTGCGATGATGCAGGTGTGTTTCTTCTCTTCCTGTCCCCCGCATTCGTCTCCTCCCCCATCCCATCCTTGCCACCCTGCACGAACCCTCTCGTCCTCCCTTTCCTGTCTTTACCCCTCCCCCTCTACTTATCCTCCCTCTTTCACGAGTGCGGGTGGGCCCTTGGCGCGGCGTCCTCGGAGCCTGGGCGATGACGCTTCCGCTGCTTCCGCGAATCCCTCCCGCCCCTCCCGCATCCTCCCGCATCCGTCTCCCTCCGTCTCCCTCCCTCCCCTTTGGCCTATCTCCTGCTCAGTGCGCCGCCGCCTCCGCAGGCGTCACCGCAGCGCGGTCCCCCTTGGGCTGCCTCTGCCTCCTTCCCTTCCCTCCTTACCCTTCTCCTCCCTTTTCGTTGCTCTATTCCCTTCGCTCTTCGTTATACCCCCTCCTCCTCTTCACATCATTGCTCTCCCCTCCCTTTCTGCCTGGTCCGCGATCGCGGTTGGCGCCCAATAGCGGGTGTGTCGAGCGCGGGGCTGCACGAGCGTCACTGGCGCGTGGATGCGGTGTCGCGGCATCCCGGGCTTGCTGCCCACAACGACAAAAGGGGACGCCGTAGCCTACTGCTCCCGGGCTTCTGTGCCCCGCCGCTGCAGCGCGCGCGAGTCGAATGCGCCGCCGCGGCATCCCTGCGGACGCGGACGTGGGGCGCTCCGCTGCGCTACCCCCGACTGACTTCCTCTTCTGCTCTTTCCCTCCCCTCCACCCCCCATCTTCCCCTGCCCCATTCGTCGCGCTTCGCCCGCCATTGTCCCTCGCTCCCGTGCTGCGGGGCGTCGAGCGTCACCCGAGGCATCGGGGACAGATGTGCACGCGCGTCACTCTGCCGTCGCGCTACCCCCCGTGCGTATCGCTATCCCTCTCTCCTCCCTCTTCCCTGCGTTCCCCTTCCCTTCTTATGTCTTCCTTGCGCTTCCTTGCGCTCCCCTTGCGTTCCCCTTCTCCGTTTTCGTCCTCCCTCTATCTATGCTACAATTCTCTCGATGCTAACCCCTTGCTTTCCGCAGCTCCCGACCTCCCTCCTCAGCGCGTCCATCTCTACCCCCCTTCCTCGCGACGCGCATCCTCCTGCACCTCGTCATCAGCTGCTTCCGATTATCGCGACACTTCCTTTGGTGCAGTTGGCGGCTGATCTGGGCTATGTTTTTGGCCCGTTCAAGGACATCGAATTCACGCATCCGGGATTCTCGCGGCTTACCCACCTCGACATCTACCACTCGTCCTCGTCGCACGCATGGCCGGTCTTCTTGCGACAACTTTAAGAATTGACACACCTCTATTCGTCCCACGCCCGTAATCCACTGGCCGCCCACTGTACGCCCACGTCCGAGTCCATGACATCCGCCATCCTCCGGGTATTACTCGCAGATTTCCAGCGCCTGCAGATCCTCGCCGTCATTTATCCAGACGCGTATACCCTGCAACTGCGTTGCGAGGATTATCGCTTCTTCGAGGCGGATTACCGGGCTGTTCTTCTCGTCTCTGAGGCCTCCTTGCGCGAGTGGGAGCTGGGAGCAGATGGGGGGGGAAGACCACTGGGTCACGGCCGAGCGGGTTGTGAGGCAGCACCGGACAGGGGAAATCACCGGTGAGATCGGTAATTGCGCAGGCGCACGGTCACTGACATCCACTGCAGCCTCGCACTATGTCGTTTTATGGCCTTGGCCTCGTGCCCCTTCGCAAAGAAACTCCGGAAGAGGGAGGATGTAGTCGATGTAGGCCAGCTGAACGACAGGTGCGTCAAGTGGCGAAGTTGCCCCAACCCGATGGGCCAAGCGTCCGACGAGAACGAGTCATGAATATCCAAGTGGGTGATCTGCGAGAACACGGCGTGCCCAAAATCAACGTGTCGGGTGAGCTGCAGGGCGGCCATCAGTCGCACAAAAGGCAGTGTTTCGAGAACCGGGAGCAGGGCAGGGTCCGCAGCTACGTGCGAAAGCCGGAGGCCGACGAGGCCGCTGCACTTGGACAGGATATGGACGTGCTGATTCACTGTCCCCGTGTGCCCGTACACGCTGGTCAGAGACAAATGGCGGACATGGTCGGGGAAGAAGGACGGGGGTTTCGAATCGAGGATTTTGAGGCAGGTCTCCTGGGTGATTCGAAGATGATCCGTTTCTGAGACGCCTTCGAGGTCGGTGACATAGAGAACTCTGTAAAGGGCTCAATCCTGTCAAAGGATTGTGAGTGCTGTCCCGATTTCTGGCTTGTTTTCGTTAACAGATTTTAACGCGGCGCGCGACCAGAATCAACGTCAGGATCGATTGTGGCTGAGATATGGCAGTAAATTCCAGGATATCCCTCTCGAGATCCATAGGTAGCCGCGGCTCCTCGCCGAAACTGGGAATTTCCAAGAGCATTCAACGATTAATAAAGAAGCCCAGTATATCAGCTCGACCCAAGCAGAAGTCGAGTCCAGTGGCGCTATCCAAAGAACCGTCGTGGAAGTTGTCAAGAGGCGAGGTCACAGGTCACGATATGAGATCACGATCTGGGAATCAGTGATTGCATCGGCTGCCGAGCGACGGCCCCCTTAAAATGGAGCTCATGCTTTCTCCCGAATGACGTGCCCCATATTGAACCGAAACCTAGCTCTACGTCCTACCTCTCCGCGAACAGTCGGCTCGCGGAGAATCGAAGATTTGTTATTTTAACCAGAATCAGAGAGGTACTTGGCTAGCAGCGACTGCAACTTGAAGCAGCAATAATTTCCCTTCCCAGATCGGTTGTTGCAGGAAATTTAGGAGTTCGAAATACCGGTGTACTGGAGACCGGCAATACCGGCGGCAGGAGGTTTGATGTCATCAGACTGCCATCAGTTATCGTCAGCCGCCCGTGCCAGACACAGGCCGCTACTGTCCCTTCGGCATCTGCCCTCCCATAAATATAATAGCTCATACATGTACTTATATGTGTCCTCCTTGCCCCCTCCGTCTGTACCGGCCGGCAGCACTGACGGCATCTCGGGCAGATCATCTGAGACTCCCGATCCGAGTCGTTCCTGAGACTCAGGAGCAAATAGTACTACAGTCGACTTTTTCATAATGCATAACTTGAAGGTGATAAGGCATATTTTTCATTATGCATAGGATTTGGTCCGGAACCACGTTGGGAGGCGGGGATATGCATTATTTTATGCATTCTGATAATGCATAGCTTCGTGAGCCACATTTCACCCACATATGCATTATGAGATGACCAAATTTGGGTGACAATGGGTGGCTGGTCTCCCAAAATTGCCAAATCTGGCTGCATTTAGTCATAGTAATTCATGCCCATCTGTCACACCGACAATTATCATATTTGGGGCCCACCCAGGTGCAATTTGAACACCCAAGTGTCGAATTGCACATAGGTGGACCTGAAATTTAATTTACTTCTAGTACTTTTGGTCCCACTGATTTTGTAACCTAAAATAATAGAATAAACTTATGATTTGGCTGCCACGAAACCCATTCGAAGGCCTACGATTTAGATTACACAAAAGTCCAACTGAGATTGAAAACCGAAATCACACTGATGATTATCATATTTTGGGTGACCTGAAACTTTATTCGAAACTAATCCGAGAAATTTTCCATTGGTTCGGCATTTCCCTGG